AAAGTATCAATAATTTCGCGCCGTTAAGTAATAAAGATATGTGTGTTAAATAAATTATTGGATTTATACACAACAAGGTAAAAGTATTTCTTAATAAAAAAGATAAAAAGGATCCGGATACATGATACGATGTTGATCCACTTGCTGGCAGGGACATTGAAGGCTATTGCCCCCGGCCTTAGACCACCGGCCGGTAGATCAGGTATCTATACTGTACACTTGATGCCAATAATAACGACACGCTTTTTATAAATTAAAAAAATAAAACAAATTTCAATTTTACTCAAGCTTAATAACTAACTTTCGCCTGTGACTCCGTCCAGAATTAAAAGAACAAAAGAAAGTATATGTGTTCATTCAGACTACATCTATGCCTTTCATCGAGATCCTTTCAGCAGTTTAGGCTACAAACTCTTACGATCATCCATCTAAACTATCGCATTTATATTATCAAGAAACTAATAAGATTCAAAAGTCATTGGAGCAAAGTTTATTCACGACATTTTATCTTTAAAAGAAAGGCAGTGCATAATCACAACAATCGTTACAGCTACGCTATATTGTCAACTGTAATGCAATATACTTGATGACCCTAATTTAACACGAGAAGTGTACAGTAAACAACATAAACATTGAGTGTTCTCGGATTACCGTTATCCGCTCGAGAACTCGTTCCGTACGGCAAACCTGACACTTTGCATATTACAGATCCTGATTACACTTCTTGTTATTATATGGAGACATCTATACTAATATTATAAATATTGTAAAGAGGTAAAAGGTTTACTTTATAATATTAGTTTCTTCGTTTCGTTTTATTTTTATAAGAGAAGGGAGCAAACGAGCGGCGGGAACACAGAGGTGGTCAACGACGCCCATGGACATCCGCAATACCAGAGGAACTACAGATGCGTTGCCGGCCTTTTAGGAAATTGTAGGCTCGCTTCTTTAAGAACCCTAATTCGTATTGGTTTTGACATACCGTTCCACAACGCGGCTGTGCGGGGCAGAAAGTTCCGCGAAAACCGCACGGTTGTGGAATGCAGGCCACCGACATGGTGAGGATGGTACCTGGCAGTCTGTAGTGTCATCCGATGACGAAACTCGGCGGCAGGAATTGTTTCAGACAGCTCCTTGGAGCACTCCCCGTGGTAAATACGATAAAAGTAGCAGAGGGAACTGACGTCCCTCCGTCAGGCCAGAGGATCTAGCCGATCGGTAAGAGCTCGGTCGTTGACGATTTAAGCCACACTCCGTTGTATGCGGTCAAATAGAAGAAGCCGATATTGGGATGCTCCCGCCCATAAATGCGTGCAGTACTCCATCTGGGGCCGAACTTGCGCCTTGTAGAGTTGAAGGCGGTGGCCCGTCTGGAAGTACTGCTACAAAATAACTCGAAAATTACTGAACTGATTTCAAAAATACGACATAATATCCAAAAATATGACTAGTAAAAAATCAGTTTTTTTTTCTACAAAAAAACTCCGTCGAATTAAGGGTTAAAGTACATTGAAATAATTGGTATAATATTCTAGACAAAACACCAAGAAAGAATTCTACGTATTCAGTTTTCCGAGAATGAGTCGTAACTAACCTAAACTTGGAGTAGACATGAAAAAAACCCTCCGATCATTCAACTTATGAATGAAAGTTATAAGTTAAAAAGAATTATAACCAACTAGATTCAGAAATCTAAATATAATACAAGAGGAATGTAAGGTTCAGTAATAAATTAAGACGGTTAAATAGATCCGCCGACATGAATGGAATCGTGATCCCATTTTGGCTGCAAATGTTTACACTATTGTTAAATACGGGGGTGTAGAAAAACTGTATCGGTATGCTTTTAATGTATACAAACAAACGTAGGAATTTGCTTTTACTACCCGCATTAAACATTCAGATATATCTATGAAGATATTTTTGCTGTAAAATATAGTATTTTATGTAAATGTTTTTTGTCCTATAAGAGGGTAATGTTTTTCAGGCGTTTGTTAGTTGATTTCATTAAGACGGCTTGCAGCCTAAACAATTGAATTTTGACAAAAAAATGACACCTCATTCGACTTATTCTTCGGAGTGTCTTAAGGTATATTACTAGCTGCCGCCCGCGACTCCGTCGGCGTGGTATTAATAAAAACAAAAGAAAGTATCCTATGTGTTCTTCAACACTAACCTCTACATCTATGCCAAATTTCATTAGGATCCGTTCAGACTTTTAGGCTATAAACTCTAACAAACATCCATCCACCCATCCAAACTTTCACATTTAGAATATTAGTATAAGTATTTATATGTATGCTATATAGCCGCAAAAAACTCACACTTCAACTTAGAAATAAAATTCTACGGAGAGTTGTACCAAGTTGGAATCCCACTCGCTATGGCTTATTTGTTCATCGCAGAATGAAAGCTTTTAATATTTGTACTATTGAACTTAAACATATTAGAGCTTTGATAATGCGCAACAAAAACAATTCACAAGAAAAGCTTAGACGTTCATTAGTATTGTTTGCAAGCGATAAAAGTTTTACAATACTCAATTAATGTAATTATTTAAGTAGTGCAGTTCGATTAATTTTCCTCATTCGTTGTTTATACATCGTTAGCTCATTCATAATTAATGAATGGTTCTTATTTCTTAGAAAATGTTATCGCAATAAATTATTTCTTATTTTTAAAAAATTCCAGCCGTCGGAAAATCTAATCTATGTTTTGCGAACTGTCGCCCGCAAACTTCGTCAGCGCAAAGGACCATCCGTTACGCAATTTTGAGGAAAAAAATATGCCTATCCATGTCAGCTACCCTCCAGTGAAAGTCCCGTCAAAATCGAGCCAGTCGTTTCGGGGATCACCCGGAACAAACGCAGTTTGCGGACAAACAGACATACCGACAAACAAAAAAAATGCGATTTTCGTTATCAGCAACGCAAATAAATCTTCCCAAAATCTGGAATTTTCCTTTTTATATTACAAAGAGACACTCCAATTTTATTATATGTATTTCTACCATATATAAATACTAGCTGTTCGCGTGCGGCTTCATCCGCATGAAATTATAAATTTATTGTTTGCATTTGTCAAATTCTCAATTGCAAATGTCAAAATATAAATTACCTTACTATGGCAATCTTGCTTCATTGATGTTGGCAGCAACTTATGGTCTCTTTCCCACATTAGGGTTTTTATCCAAAATATTTACCCTCTCAGTTTAATGGCTTTAAAATATATAGCCTAAAGCGTGACGTAAGTGTAGGGCATTTTATTAAAAGAAATATTCAAAAACATGCTGTAATTGCTGAGATCTTAGGCAACAAAGAAGTGTGTGTTTACGCTTTATTATAATACTCGTAGTATAGATATAAATGTACCAACAAACTAACAATGGGTTAGTTCTAAAGCAGAATAATAATAAATTTTGTATGCTTAGTAAGTAGTTACAAATATTTGGTACAGAATGAAGAAAATCACTTAAAATGTTTAAAATGACAAAGTCATTTATATTTTTAAAAGGCACCTTCAATCAATCGTTATTCTTGGTCGGGAATTGGTAAATTTTGTGTTTATTTACCTCATATTAATGAAGGGTTTTCCCGTAGTATTACACTTTTCCTCATGTAAGGTATGCAATTTAATTTATTTGTCATTCTGAATGATCGAGTAAGGAAATGCGTGTTGAGGATGTCAACACTTCCGTAGTTTTTGACAATTTAAGTGGAAGTTCATCTTATTTTATTATGCTTTTGTTGTTTATAAGTTTATTTAAGGACTGATATGCTTACGTAGTATTTAAAAGTAAAACGTGATATGCGTATTTTTTGGTATCTCTTCGGAGAAAATAATTGCATTTCGTCCTTACCAACAATATTGTGTTGTAAATTAACAGTTGAACGATTAAGTTACTAAGCGTCATTAGGTTTTACAAATTCCATGAGGCCCTTTCAACCATGCATAAGGTGTTTAAAACATCTTTTCACGTCAAAACAATGATTTCGTGTTAAAAATTTGACATTTCCTATCGAAGTAGCCTTCTGGTGTGTAGTTATTAAGCCAATTGTTTGACGCTAATAATAGAACTGCAATAATTGCGAGGGTTAAAGGGCAACTCGAGGATCGAACGACCGAATGCCGCGCGCCCGAAACGCCTCGCATCACTTTCGGCGGGACGTGTTTCCGAATTGTCGGGAAAT